CGCGGCTGTCCCTGCTTCTGTTTCGGAGGAGGGGATCGTAATTTTGTGCAGTCGTGCAGATGATCTGAGCGATCAGCTTCCTCTGCGAAGGGGGATGCCGGAGCTCTGCGGGCGGGCAAAGGAGGGAGTCAGCTCCTTGCTGAGACTGTTGATGGAGTGATGATCCTCTGGGTTATCCCTCAGGGAAGGCTCGAGTTCATTTCTTTGCTTCATTTCTTTGCGTCTTCTGCACGTGTCTCTGAGCCCTTTAAAGAGGACAAAACTTTTTCGGTTGTTATCCTGAAACACAAATTTATTGAAGACTCTTGAGTTGTTGCCTTTAGATCAGTGGTTATCAAGGTGCATGTGTGCATAGTCACACATGGTAAAATGTAATGCTGCTGGGTCGTTGGCCTCCATGGGATTACACTGTCTGAAACTAGCTCATCTTTGTATTGTAAACCTTCATGGAGACAGTGTGTTCTTCTGAGAGTGCGTTTAGTTAGCTGTCATTAGCTAGATAGCTCTGTCAGAGTATAGACGGGTCAACGGGAACCCTTTTTCTGCGTATAGAGTGGCACGCGTTGCTTAATGGAGAAACTCCCTGTACACAGTGTGTGGTTTCCAGACTGGCAGAGCACAGCAAACCTTTACTATTTCAGAATTTGAGACCTGTTCTGCTGTATCGCAGCTAATATAGCCGGTGCCTGTCTTGGAAGTGGCTTAGAGTTTTCCCAGTGAATCTGTTTCTGTGGAATTGGTGGGATTACGTGCAAAACCCTTGCCATTTTTGTTAGATACTGTGTTTATTTTTTTAAATATATCAGTGGCTTGCTGTATTTCTAAGATGGAAGTGGAAACGTAAGCAATAATGTTAAATAGCTACCTCTTAAGATTCTTACAGAAAAATGACCTTAGTGATGAGATTTTGATTAGGTCTGCCTGCTTTGAAAATTCAGACCAATTCTGTGGGTGATTTACAAGGTGAAATAGGACAGAAGACATATAACATTAGATAGTTTAATTTTAAAATGGCCTAATAATTTAGCCAGTAGTGTACCTGATGTATTTATTACTGGGTAACTGCCATGCATGTTCAGCTCCTATTCATGTAAGAAAGCACTATGATGTAAGTGGATGGACTTGTTCATTTAAACATCTTTTTAATTAAAAAAAAGCTTTAAATTTTCCCATAATTCTGAAAAGATTTTTTTTTTCCCCCAAAAGTGACCTGGATATTCTGTGTTCAAATGAGTAATACTTAATAGTTACTTGAATGCTTGGATTTTCTTTGCGTGTGTGCCTTTTTAGAAAAGGAATTTAAATGTAGTTATTTTCTGTTGGATGGTGATTTCTCCTATGCCTAGAAGTATCGTGGGTCTTGCTCTGTTTTTCCTACTTTTTTTTTTTTTCCTGGGGAAAAACTCTTTGTTCACTGTTCATAAATTAGAGCTAGCTGCTTGTAAATTCATATTTTCTCCCTCAGTTCTGTCTCCCTTGGGCTTAGATCATGACATTTATTTTCTTACTGCCCCCAAAACTGAACTTCATTTGGCCTTTGAGATGCAAACCTCTAAGACTGTTGGGAAGGGTGATAATTTCTTATCCTTTTGTCTTTAGCACCAGAAGGGGAAGCAAATCCAGTTTAAACGCCTTGAGGCTTTCGTTCGAGATTCATGGCGTAAACACCGGGATGACACCCGGCTGAGGCGCATGGAGCAGAGACCTGAGCAGACACCTGAGCAGACGGCTGTACCTCAGGAGCACAAACTAGCCTTTGTTGTGCGGATTGTAGAGTAAGAAGCTTTTGTTACTCCTTACCTTTACTACTGCTATTTGTAGCTGTCATAACCTTTCTAGGTAAAGGAAGGGTGATCAACCCAAATATGTCTCCTTGAAGGTAACCCGAGACCTTTTGTTGCTGTATTAGAGGAATATCATTACTAATACTGGTTTTTTTCTGACTCAGTATTAAGGGAGTGAGTAGGAGGGTAAAAAGAGTGATTGAGTTGCTGCGGCTGAGAAAAAGTTTCACTGGAACATTTGTTAAACTGACTCCTTTATCGCTGAAGATGCTGCAGATTGTGGAGCCTTACGTGGCATGGGGGTAAGTACCAGTCCTGTGACTTGATAGTAGTTTGTATGTAAATATCATAGCTTTCTGATTCTCTATCGGGTATCACAAATCCATAGCTGGCTTTTCCAGTAATGGTCAAAACTTTGTCAACTTTATATCTAAAACTTGTCATTTTCCCTTTTCTCATTGTTCTAAATGTAACTTGGTTACTTTTCCACCTCTATACAAAGAAGTAGGGTGGGATTTCCCACTGTATCATGTTTCTCTGTAACAGAATCTGATTTTTGTTTTTGCACAGACACCCTAATCTGAAATCTGTACGAGAGCTCATCCTGAAACGGGGCCAAGCCAAGATTCAGAAAAAGAGGATGCCTCTGACAGACAATAAGCTGATAGAGGAACATTTAGGTGAGGAAGAGGATGAGAAAATGAAGTGAATCAAGGAAAGAGGTGGATGTTGAGAGTTTGCAATCTGACCTAAGAGGGAGGGGAGGGAGAAAAACCTTGCAAGGCTTGTGTATGGAGGACTGGCAGTTCTGGAGAGTAGTGTGAGGGAAGATAATACACTTGGGCATCTTGTGTATATGTTGTTTGTGGGGGGCTTTTTGTTGGGGGTTTTTTTAATTTTTTTTTTTCTTCCCCTGCAGGGAGCTGTGGTATTATTTGCTTGGAAGACCTTATTCATGAAATCTACTCAGCCGGAAAGCATTTCAAAAAAGTCACAAACTTTCTGTGCCCATTCCATCTGTCAGTGGCTCGCCATGCTTCACGTAACAAAGTGGGTTTCCTCAAGGAAATGGGTAAGCCTGGCTGCAGAGGTGAAGCAATCAACCAGCTTATACGTCAGCTGAACTAGTCAGGTGAGGAGTGCCTGCCGTGTAACTTCTGAATCTTACCCTTTATGCGGTTTCCTAAGAATAACTGTACTGCCATCGGAGATGAGGGGGGCTCCTTTGGTTTTGATTCTTCACTCTACAGAAGCAACCGTCAAGGTAGGGGAAGCTACTGAAGAGCGTGGGTCCCACTAGATACCAGCAGATCCTGCTGGACGCTTTTCCGTAAAGGCTTGACTTCGGGGACATTGCGATAATGTGACCGACTGTTTCTTTTTTTTCTTTCTTTCCTGTTCTGCAGGGTCTTTGTGAAAATTTCAGGATTTATAACCTGTTCCTTTTCATGGACATTATCTCTATGCAATGATAGACTGTATCTCTTGACTGTTGGTGCCTCTATAAAAAAAAAGAAAAAATATACAGATGATGATGGAGATGGACTTTAAAAAGGACCAGCCCAAAGAAGACGACAAATTGTAGTTGATACAAGAAAGAAGTGACTTGAACTTCTTGGATTGTGAATTCTGCATCTCCATAAAACGAGGTTTTTTTTATACCTGTTGCTGCTGGCTCTGTGTCAGTCACCTCCTGATCTCATCTTTGGTATAAAGCAGTGGTTGTCCATTCCTGATATAAACTTCTGTTACAGTTGACTTGCACTCACTGCTTTGATCCAGTCCTCCCCGGGGGAAGCGCTTGAAGCTGTGCTCCTTGAAGTGCACCTCCTGCTACATCTAAAGGGGCAGTGCAGTCACCTGTTAAAGAATATTGCTTGCAGGCAGAAGGAAACACTAGGTATTCCTCTGTTACTGCAGTGCAAGCCCTAGTAGTGAATAATGTAACATGGTTTTTTTTTTTTTAGGTACCTAGGTTGTATTTATTTTAAAAAGCTATGATTTCGTGCTACTGATTTACAAAAGGCTGCCTTTTCAATTCTGCTGGATTGGGACTGCTGGAGAGAAGCATTTCCTGGTAGGAAAGCCCAGAAAACTTGTAGTGCTGTGGTAGAACACATGTAATCAATGTTTTCTAAATAAACTTTTCAAATTATACTGTTATAACAGGAGGAGCTATATATAACTCTAAAAGAGTGGGAAAAGTTAAACACTCTGGCTGAAGTGAATTTGATGAAGGAAATGAACAAAACCAGGAAGAGCCTGAAAGTTCCATTAACGCTTAGGGATTTAAATCCCTAACTTCTTCTGGTACAAAAAAATGTGTGAAGAATACAGGAAGAGTCCTTTGCTATTTAATGAATATAGAAGGCAGTGTGCTTAATTGTCACTGCAACTGTTTATACTGTTACTTGAAGACTTTTAATCCATGAATGGATTTCATATTGACTCCACACTTGTTTTGAGACTCGGAGGAAACAAATTAACAATGTAAGTGGGATGCCTTTAGGGTACTAGTTCCATGACAGTAATAAATTAAGATGTAGCATTCATAAAACCATCTACAGACTCCAAATTAGAGAACACTGTACAATTTCAAGCTTTATTCTGTAAAACAAGAATACAAACATAGAAAATGCTTGACAGACATTAGAGACATACATCAACTTAGAACACCACCATCCCCGAAACTAGAGTCCAGCAGTCATTAATATACAAGGCATCATATATTTAAGATTTTCCTGAAAAACAGGTGCTTACATTGTAAAGAGGTACAAGTAACTTCAGAATTGTTTGGTTGATTCATTTTAAGATTATTTCAGTAATAAAACAGCCCAGGCTTTTAATATGAAGAACTGGCATGTCAGCAGTGAGATTTTTCTAGTGCCAGAGAGAACTTAAGCCTGCTAGTAGAATGCAGTTTATAATAATATTAAAATACTAAATGACAGGATCTGAACACAATTCTAACAATCCTAGATTTAGGCAGTTTTTCTAGTGAATGTGGTAGTTAAACAACACCATTGGTTTAGCTCATACAGTTAAGTAAGAATTTAACTATCATGAATACCTTATTTAGACCTCTTTAAAAACAGTGCCAGCTTAGTCTAGTGTGACACCACATCATCACAAACACGTTGCCTTTTTTCTGTATCATCCTTCAGCAAGAACAACAGTAATGATGTGTTCATGACTTAGCTGCACTATGAACAGAAACTATACAAGGCGACAAGATATATACAGCCCCCCCGTATATTAGGGGAAGGAATCCTTTTTGTAAGCCACCATACTGTTTACTTTGTGGATCGTAGTAGTGAAGGAACGAAGACGAACCTCTTCCGAATTGGCTATGAATTGTGGTCCTGACTCTTCCCACTTTTCTGGCACTGCCAAATCTTTATCTGTGTATATCAGCAAGTCAAAGGCACCTGCAAGCAAGTGGAAACAAATGAACAGTAATGCATGCATAAGATGGCATGTTTGAAGTTAAAGTGAGTCTTGTAGAACTTGAGACATACCAAGGTTCTCAGAAGTTACACTGATACTAGTTATGTGGAAAAAAGTACTTAAACATGAAAACACAGTTATCTTCATGTGTAGCCTTTTTAGTTTTCTCAAGCAAGTGTGACAGATTTTTTTTAAAAACATGTTAAAATACCATGGAGCTGAGCTCTATGTAACACTTCATATGAACTCAGTGGTTATTTATACAAGCCTGTCCACAGCTAGTCACAAAATAATTTATGAAAACTTACATTCCTCAGAGTACATGTACTAGTTTCATTAAGTTAGTTAAGCCACCCTGAGTTCTGCCCTCATCTCGGTCTAACAAAATGCTGGCTCAGAAATGATTAAAAAGCCTTAGAAAATACTTTCCGCTATTTTCTGAAGTAGAAAAGAAGCATTTGATTTCTTAGTGAAGTTAGGAATACTCACAGGCAGTTTCCAACAGTGGCAGAAAAGTTACTGTGGCAGTTATTTGTCTGATAACAGATCGAATTTCATCCTGAATAGCTTTCTGAGATTTTTCTCGTGGTGCACTGGAAAAATAGGAAAACTCTGTTAAGAAAGCAAGCTGCTCCTATATTGACAGTTTTCTTTAAATACAGTTCTCTCTATTAACCTCTGTTGGTCTGTTTGCTGTAGGATTTTTTTAGTAGTAGTGACGCTCTTTTAAGCCCTAGGTAGATAGGCTTAGAAAAGTTAAGTGGTAGTTGGTTTCCTTTTATTGTTTGTGAAGCTTCACAGTATTTGTAAGGAACATTACATTTATTCTCATTCTGGAACGGATGAAAACATTTTGGCATAACAGGAAAGCAGTAGTTCTTCAGGGCACATACCTGATAGGGGATTTTACGTACTTCGTTGAAGATTAAAAATCAACTTTTGATCTGATGCTTTAAAAAAAGAAAAAAAAAAAGGAAAACCCACAAGTATCAGCACCTGAGGATTACATATGCTTCAATCATATGATGACTGGTCTACAGACAAACAGAAGGAATAGCAGTAAGAAAGGTAGTAGGTTTGGTAAAGTTTGAAGGAACATCTTCCATGCTGACAGTGAGGAAAGGCTGTCTCGGCTGCTCTGAGGGACCGGAGCAGCGCTGAGGCGCACGGCATTTCTCTTGTGCCTGCACAAGGTATAGCGAAGAGCAGCTGCAGAGGAACAGTTACCTCTCGTCCTTCGCAGTTTTGTCGCACTCTATGTCGAACTGCCACCGCTCCAGAACCTCGTTGTTTTCGATGCTAGAGATGACCACCACGAGGCGCTGCACGATGCACTTGTACAGCC